CCAAATCGCTGTTACTGTCTCATCAAAGGGCAGTTTCCAGCAGCCGTCTCTCTGATACTCATTCATTGACAGGCCACCTGGAGTCGGCCTGAAAACCTCAGCTTCCTGACGAGGGTTAGTGTTCCAGAGGCCAACTAGGACTTGAGAACTGCAGAAGCAAGATAACCTCTCCACCTTCTGCCTCCCTCTCCACACCCATGTCTTGTGTAATTTTTAGTAATCAAATACCCCTTTTAATCATTTTATAAATTGATAAAGTGTTTCAGTACGCACACACAGAAGTTTATGATGTGCTGCTCACGGTGCTGAGCACGTGTTATTTCAGTGAAAGGACAGCATGGCTAGTCTGCAACGCCTGCGGCAAAGCATTTAAGTTTGCAGTTGACCCTTGAACAGCGTGGGGGTTAGGGGTGCCGACCCCCTGTGCAGTGGAAACTCCAAGGATGACTTTTCACTTCCCTGGAAATTTAACTACTAATAGCCTACTGTTGACCAGAAGGCTTGCCAAAACAATCAATTAACACTTATTTTGCATGTTACATGCATTCTGTATTCTTACAATAAAGTAAGCTAGAGAAAACGTTATGAGGGAAATCGTAAGGAAGAGAAAATATATTTACTATTCATTAAGTGGCAATGGATCATCATAAAGGTCTTCATTCTCATCATCTTCCTGTCCAGCAGGCTGAGGAGGAAGAGGAAGAGGAGGGGTGGGGCTTGCTGTCTCAGGGATGACAGAGGCGGAAGAAAATCTGTGCAGTTCAAACCGTGCTGTTCAAGAGTCAGGTTTACACGCATAGAAGAAGTGTGTATTTGAAGAGTGACAATATTAAAAGTGGCATATCCTTAACAAAGTAGCAGGAGAAGTTTTCCTTTATTGTCTCACGGGTATCACTGAAGTGTCTCTCTCAGAAAGCTGAACACCCTTATATTCGTATCTCTTTCATGCATTGCACATTGCTTTCCAGATTACAAAACCAGAAACAGAAATCCATAACCAAGAAAGAGGGCTCAGGACAGGGCAAAATTAGGAGAGAGGGTGGAGGTGTGCATAGATTTAAGAAGCACATTCGAAATGATCATTGCTCTGATTTAGCATGACAGTTGATATATTTTGAAATTTCAAACAATGATGTTGATTCTCAAAAGGGAGCATACGCTCAAACAAGCTGGAGGATCACTGTCTTCAATCCACGCTGCTTGATGCTAGAGTAGGGTAGTAAAATGTCAGCTCACACCCAAGCAAATCAAAATTCTAGGAATTCCTTGTACTGGAGGAGATAATACTGAGTAGCATGCCCCTGCAAAATAGTCTACTGAGTTCTTTAATCAGAGTAAGTTTAGAATATAAGTTTGACATATGCAGAGTAGGAGCTTTCCCACCTACCTAAAGGATGCCTGCACTTGCCACCAGAAGTAGGTTACTTGAAAAAGGAAACACAGCATTTCAAACTTAGTGATCTTACAAGGCAGAAAAAAGTTCTTAGGATGCTTTCTTTAGAGTCATTTTTCATCCGCAAGAAAGGCGGCAGCCATAACCTTTTTTTTACAAAATAAGTGGAATCAATAAGAGTAAAAGGCCAGATTATTTAAAATCTTGAGTCGTCTCTTCGCTTCACCACTGGCTTCAATAATTTCTGGGCCCATCGGAGCAGCAGAGTTGAAGATTAGGGACAAGTTGGAAATTTCCTTAACCTGTTGGCAGCAGTCACTACGTAGAAATGTTTCTTGAGGCAAGGAGAGAATAAAAGAAAAGAAAAGGCATATATTTAGACCAATGTCTTTAAGAAGAAACAACGAAAGGACTTAAGTGAGTCTAGCCACTTGGGTTTGTTTAAAATGGATAACCCAAAGAGGAATAATTTTAATAGAACAGTCACATGACTCTCAGAGGCACGTTTGGAGTAAGTATCAAATGACAAGATTTTCACATAAACCATGGGGCGCCCTAGAACAGTTTTCAAACTATGATTCGCAACCTATCAGGGGGTCATGAAGTAAAATTGGTGTGTTGTGATCAGCACTTTTTAAAAATGAAACCGAATGACATAGAATAGAAACTATCAGAATGCATCACACTCAGAGTAAATGTCGCGAGATTTCTGTGCCGTGTATGTGTACACGTGTACATATGTGCACCTGTGTACTGGCTCCCTAGGTAAAGTATTTCGTTTTTGTTTTCTGATCCTCAGTGAGGATCCAAGTCAATAG